CACTGCAAAGCAGATCCCTTCTCCGCGATGCACCGTGAGTACCGCGCCCGGCTCCTGTCCCGCTGTCTGCCCTGCTCAGAGCCAGTGCGGCCCGGCCCTGCGGCCCGACCTGGAGGCCACGCTGGCTTCTCCGGTCCCTCTCCCCCTCGCCTGGCGATTCCTGCCTCCAGACACTCCGGTCTGCCTCGTCAGCCGTGCTCATCGCTCTCTGCCTCCCACCTTCCCGTGCTGGTCACCCACTTTTGCTGCGTCCACCTGCCCCTCCTAGGTCCACAGCCTGGCCATGCCAGTCACCCAGCCCTCGTTGGTCTTTTGCCCTGGGCCGGAAGACCATTTATTTGGCAGACAGTTCTCTGGATGCTGTGTGTGTTCGCCTCTCCTGTCCTCCCTCCCCACATCTCACCGTTTTCAAACTTAGAGTTGTGGGTGTCCAAAGGAGACTCCCAGGCTGGGCAACCACAGGGTGCGGACCTTTGGGCACAGGAGCATGCGACGGGGTGCCCCCTTCTGACCCTGGACTCTCAGCCTCTCTTCTTCACCCTCCCATCCTGGTCAAGGCTTCTTCAGGGCTGCTCTGAAATATTTCCTCAACCCCCCTCCCCTAGCTCCCCTTCCTTTCCCTTAGAGTTGGGACTCTGGGGTTGGCGGGATGTAGCGGTCATCCTTCCCTCCCTGGGCCCTGAAAGGTGCTCTGAAAAACAAAGAGGGGTTCTGAGGAGAAATGAAGTCCAGCAGGCAGCGAGCAGAGCAGCCCCCAGGCCGCCCTGGGCAGAGGCAGCTCCCGTGCCTCCCGTTCCCGCAGAAGATTGGGTGAGGCAGCACCCTGGCCAGGTCGGCAAGGAGCAGAAAAATGAGGGAAAGAACAAAAGAAAGGCAAATGCCAACTGTAGGGAGCAAGGAAAGAAATCAAAACAAAGAGAAAGAAACCAAAGAAGGGAAATTGGAAAGATTCTACAGGAAAAAAAGAGAAGGGGAGAAAGGAAATAGGAAAAGAGGACAATATTTTAATAAAATTTGAATTTATTTCATTCATGTTAATTAATTCTTTAGCTCGGAAAACTATTTGTGAGATTTTTCAGCAGGCGCTTTTTAAAAAGACAAATAGGATTCTAAACAGAAACCCCTTCCCATCTGTAGATTAATAATTAAGGGTTATTTTGTAACTTTTCTCCAGGAAACTTTTTTAGACCTGACTTGGATCTATGCTTAAAACGAGAGCGCAAGGAGGGAGAGGCTTGTATTTGTCTGTGCATTCTCTAGCTTTACAGAAGGCCTTTAAAAACTACCCTAAACGTGTTTCCCTAGATAATTTCCAAGCTCAGGAAGCCCGAGCCGGGGGCTACGGGCCGCCGCGGGTCTCGTGAACCTCGGGGAAGCCTCGCTCCTTTCGGAGGGAGCGGAACCGGGCCGCGCGCCACCCTC